TGTCTGTGTGTGTGTGTGTGTGTGTGTGTGTGTGTGTGTGTGTGTGTCAGGAGTCATGAGTGCTGCTGAAGCTGCGTCTGCTCTGGAGGCTCCGGGGTCGAGCAGCTGGTCGGTTCCTGTGGAGCATCTGGACTACAGCTTCATCCAGAGCTGCTCGGACCTCAAACATCTGGAGCAGATCCTGAGAGTCCTGCGGTGAGAGGAGACCCATCTGTGTGTCTGTTCGTCTGTGTGTCAGAGCTCCACTCACGTGTGCTGGCGCTCCTCAGGTCCGGTCAGGACGGTTTCTACCCTCATCTGATTGAGTTCTGTGAGGAACGCATAGAGAAACTGGACCCAGAGTCTCGAGCCCTGAGGAAGGAAAATCGAGCCGCCACCGCTGCCAGCTTCTCCACAGAGGAGTGGAGGAGCATCTCTGAAGACCTGCAGGTGAAGCATCACAGAACAGCAGACTACTGATCCTCTGCAGAAACACACGTCTTACACTGCATTCACTCAAAGCAGATCTCAGTTCAGTTCTGCGCCATATAATACACTACTGAGTTCACATGACTTCTCTATTACAGTGTTTTCAGCTGCTTACACACTTTTCAAAACTTAGCCTCTTTTTTTTTTTCAAAACTTTACAGAGAAATCCAAGAACTGCACACAAAATGCAAAAAACCTCGCATCTCTTGCAAAATAAAGCGCTGCATTCAAAATATCACAAACACATCTCAAAAGCAAACATTTGCCATAATATTAATTCCTGTTAGATTTGTGTGTGTTACATCGAGAACTGTGTGTTGTGTTTTGCAAAAAGTGTTTTTATAACTTAAAACAGAGAATATTTCCTGAATGTAAGTGTATTTTGTGCTTTTTAAACAGGGTATTTTTCATTTAGTTTTAATCTAATTTTAATGAGGTTTATGTTTAAAACAATTGAAAAATACCTTTGTATTTGAGATATATTCTCTGAAAATAGTTTTTAATATTATGTGATTGTTTGTTTTTAATTTGAAGGATGTTTCAGTTATTAAACTGCATATGTAATGATGATATGTGATGATATTTGTGTCATGTTCCACAGCTGTGGGAGAGCAGCATGAGACTGAGAGAAGCGGAGCTGAAGCAACGGCCCATATTCAGTGAAGCTGCAAACGTGCCGCCGGTGCGGTGCTCAAACCTCGTTCAGGTAAAGGTTTTTATTCTGGAGAAGATCTGAACCAAACCTCTCAGACTCACAGATTCATCAGAGGTTTCTGCTCAAACCTTCCTGTAGAGAAGCGTCAGCGCTGCGGGGAGAACTGAGAAAACATCCTGCGTCCCTCGACCCTACAGAGACTGGGACAGGTGAGTGTGTGTGTGTGTGTGTGTGTGTGTATGTGTGTGTGAGTGTGTGTGTGTGTGTGTGT